TATCATAATGCTACTAAATTAGCCTCGAGTTTCCTAGTGTCTCTTCCTCAGAGTATCTGTTCATTACATCTTACATTATATAATCTGTTTATTTGAAATTGGTATGCTTGTCAGTATCAACCCTAAAAGTAGAGGCAACTACTCTGAGGATGACAAGTTGTAAAGAATATCCATACTGGTATTAATTAGTAACAGCTTCCAAATCCTACAATGCTGCCAAAGTTAAGTTTTTATAAAAATAGGTGATACTATATTTAACTATAATAAGCCAGTGTGGTGGTCAAATCTATTGAAAATAACAAGAGGAAACATAGTAACTATGGAAGATCATCTATATTGTGGTCTTAAATGTTTTATCCATTGCATGTTTTTCTAGGAAATTGTTTTGTTGGCTTGCTATGACTTGGTATTCCCTATAACACAGAGAGGATAGATATATATGTAGAAATTCACACATGGGTTCTTTTTTTCTTTTTAATTATTTATGGGTGAGATTTTTGATCCCTTGCTAGGGCACAAGAATCACTGTCCTCACACTGAAGAAGTTACAGAAGATGGACCATGTAGCCTTTTCAGAAGTTAATGAGAAAAAACTTTTCATAGATGAGATATAGTGGGAGAAATAAAATATGTAAAAAGAGACAAGTAAAAATTATTCTTTTGTAAATAAAAATTATACTTTCAAAACACGATCCCATTTTAATGTGTTTTTCTATTCACAGAGCAGAATAAACAGGGAAAATTCCCATTTACATAGACAATTGTTTAGCCTTTCATTTCTTAGCAGCAAGTGGACTTTTCATGTGTAGACAGATCACTGCTTACATATGGAATAGGTTTTCTTCATTGAATCCTTCCTTCATTATCATACTATACATGGGCAATTCTACTCACCTACCCAAATGAAGACTGTAAGCAGTCAAATTTCAGATTCCCATTACCTAAAATACATAATGTTCCCCAGTTTCAAACTACAGTGCAGCTCACACTCTTGATGGCCCACCATCAACTCTTCAATATGTAAAAAAACTTACTCTAATTAACACTTTCTGAACCTTGTATATACATATTCTCAAAATTCTCCTTCTGTGAAAGGACTCAGTGAACTTCCATCCATCCAGGTGTATGGCATGTGAAGTTCTTCTAAGACCAAGTTCAGCAACAAGACAATTGGAGATGGCACTGGACACCAGGGAAGAAGAGAGTGTAAATGAGGGGCAATGGCAGAGTCAATATAATCACAGTGTATTATATGTAATATATATCAATGGAAACTTAGAAAAAGATCACACATTTGTCTCAATACACACACAAAAATTATTTCACAAAGAACACACATTTATGATAATTTTCTCACAAAACTGGAAAAGATGGTTTTTAATCTTAATCTGATAATCCAGCTGTGACCCCAACAGCAAACATCAGTCTAAGTGGCCCAAAACTGAAAACTCACTCGGAATTCTGGAATGGGCATCAGTTGAATGCACTCTTCCAAGATGATTAAGTACAAATGGCAAATTAATATATGGAGAAAAGTTCAATATACTTGTCTTTTGAGAAATGCAAATGCAAACAACTCTGAGATTCCATCTCACTACAGAAAATGGGAAATAATCAAGAAAACAAGCAATAAAAATTGCTAAAAAGAATTTGGAAAGAAACTCTTCTTCACTGTTTGTAGACGTGCAAATAGATACACACCTCTGGAAATCAATGCAGACATTCCTAAAAAATCTAGTATTACAGGGCTCATGTGTTACAACTGTTCTCCCAAATAATTTAATACATTTTACCAGAGTGATGTATGTGTACCCATATTTATAAGAAAACATTTTGTAATGCTAAAATCTTGGGAACACCTCAAAATGCCCATCAACAGATGAAGATATAAAGAGGGCATGATGTTTCATACAGTGATGAAATAGCCATTAATGATATACTTTACACATTAGTTGGTAAAATGATGCACTTTCACAGTCTCCTTCAGCGACAAAAATTTCTAAAACTTGTATAAATACTGCATGATCTCATTGGTGTGAAGATTTGAAAGTGCAAATAGAAAGTAAATGTAAAATAGATATAATGAAAGAGTAAGCAGTTGTTCAAAAACAAAGAACAATTAGCGAAGGGGAGTTAAAAGGGAAGAAAGAGAAAAATGGAAAAACAGAAAAAATCATCGAAAATAAGGAGGAAAAGAGGGATTGCAGAGAGCAAAACAGAATGACCAAAAGAAGAATCAGAATATATAATGTATAGGTACAATTTACCTGTGATGAATGTGAATATTAGGAATATCTCAATTGTAAAAGTAAATAATAATAATAATAATAATAATAATAATAATGTAACTCCCATAAAAATCAATGTATATTATATGCAAGTTGCAGTACACCAAAATGCAATCCACTATTCTTTGCAATTTACATGAAATTATAAAATCATTTCCAGATTCTATATATGTGGAAAGATTTATTAACTACCTTAATGTTTTCATTCAGCTATTTATCTAGAAAAGATTAAAAACTGCACTTGTTTTTGGTTAAGAGAAACAGGCTAGTGAAAAAGAAATCTTTCTCCATTACAATTAGATGAACACACACACATACACACACACACACAGTCTCGCACACACACATGTCCAGATTCACTACAGCCAGTTATTTCTTGCCAAAATTCCACTATTTGAATTCAGCATTTTAAATAAAATATTTGGAGGATTAATGTCAACAGATTGCTCCCTAAATTTCCATTGGATCTTCAATTCTATGGTCTTTGATTGCCTCTCATCCTGGGTCAGGTCAAGACACAGGTTTTATTTCCACCCTGAGACAGGCTGCCCTCAGGAAGACCTTCCTTGGTCCAGGAGTTGATATTGCCATGCTCCATCATCCACAATGTCCTACACAATTGTGTTTCAATTTCATACTTATTTTTGCCTATGACTGAGATGCTGGTACAGAACATATTCAATGTATCTCTAAATTTTGGTATTATGTTCACTGAATCATGTTCTACCTCAGTCAGTATTCATGTTTGTTAAACAAGGTTAAACGGACTCCGTGGCACAGACTATGTTAGAGATGGAAACAGCATCCTTATTCTCTGGAAACACAGTCATGGGTATTATGTATGTCCATGTGCAGATGTTCTGGAAACTTGAAATTTAATTCCTACCTTATAAATGCTTCTTTCTGTACTCAAATCATGAACTTCACACTTTGCTTCCAAAACATTCAGTAAATGCAGAATAATCATGACTGTCTGAGTCAAAAGAAGAATGAAGATTGAGGAAAAAAATACCTTTCTATATAGAAACAGCAGATGAGCCCATAGACTACACATGCACCAATGAAGTCAGCATAAAGAGTGTCAAGACATGGACCTGCAGAAGAATTTGCTAAATGGTGCCACAGATCTGAATGAATCAGTTGGAAGCCAGTATACAGATCAGGTCACAAACTTCACATATTTATGAGACACCAACTTCATCAGACAACATCTAGTCTATCTGTCTCCATCTCAGAACTCCTTTTCCCACACTTGCATTTCTAGCCTCTATGTTGTTTCCTTGTGTATTTGATTCCTGCTATCTGAGGAAATCATCCAGCAACCAGGCTCAAATTCTAGGGTCTTTTGTCAACAGGTGACCATGGGTCCAAAACATGGTAGCAAAAATATAAAGGAAGACTCCACATAATGAATTGTCCTCATCTCCCTGTGTCTCTTTCCAGTTGACAGTGTACCCAGCTTTCCTACATCATCCAATAGCTGGTGATGAAAGACCAAATATTTGAGACTGAAGAGACATAGAAGGTGACCCAAAACCAACTGATGAGCAAGTTGACAGGTGCCTTTCCTGGATTACATATGGGCTACTGAAATGCTCTACAAGGGCATTAGTACACTTAAAATGAGGTTTCTCTTGTCTTTACAGAGCAGGTATTGACTAACTGTATTTTTTACAAGTTTACTCCTATATGCAGTAAGTAAGATGGAAACTGTACTCCAGTGATTTCAGATTATGTAGTCTGGAAATGACTCCTAAACTGGGGGTGGGGTGGCGTGGGGTGAAAACAAGCCAGATATACTCAGATTGTGAGATGAGGCCAATTGTTTTACTGCTTTATGAGAAAACAAGGCCTATTTTAACTTTTCATGGCAGATGTTGGGATCTAGGACATTTATACAGACCTATCTCATCAGCATTATTTTTCATTTACAGACAGGATTTCACTATGTTTCCAAGTTACCAAGCCTGGGTTTAAATTGTAAAATTGAAATCCACTTGCCTAAGGTTCCCAGATGGCTTAAATCAAATGAATTCACCAACTTTCTTATGTCTGAACCATTTTACTTAAAGAATGATAAAACATTAAAATTAGAGAATATAAATTAGAACTACAGTTTAGTAATTTATCAGCAATATTCGACATCAAGATCAAGTGTGCAGAAATGCCAACTGCCTCAATGTATATTACAATATTGGATAGTAATATATTTCACACATGGAAACTTACACAAATAACATTTTATATATATTTACAATTTTGGCATATATTGAAAAATGTAGACAAGTTAATAATTAAATGGTACTAAATACAGAAATTAGCATAATAACCACAGTGTAATCAGAATCTTGTGAATGTGTTCCTTTCTCTTCATATCTCATCCTGCCTTTCACTTAACCTTCTTGTCAGGTTGTGACATCACGTAATGACTCTCAAATGAAGCAAAATGAGATAAATAATGACTCCAAGTGACATCAGATTTATTTATGCTACTGAGAATGAAACATGATTTAGACTTTCTCAACATTTTTTCTGAGTTTTATTTTAATATCATAAGATGCTGCTGAAATGCCACTGTGGAACATGTGCCTAAATGTTTACTATGAGAGTTCAGCAGTGCCAGGACCCAAAGACTGTACAGAGAGCAGCAAAAGTGGTGTATCATCATCCTGTATGAAATTTATTTCTAGAAATATAATGCTACAACCTGGGCATGAAGGTGTATGCTTGTAATCTCAGGACTTGTAAGGCTAACACAGGAGGATTGCTGGAAGTTCAAGAGCAGCCTGGACTACAAAGGGAGTCCAAGGTTAGCCTGGACTTCAAAGTGAGCCCATGACCATCCAGGCCTGCAAAGTGAGCCCAAGATCAGCCTGAAATTCATAGCAAGATTGTTTCAGACAAAAAAAAAAAAACTAATGGTACAATTTGCATGCATTGAATTCATGCACTTGTAGTTGTTACCTTATTTATTGCACACTGGTGATTCTTTCTATCTGGTGTCATGATATAACATCATTTATATCACTCACTAGTACTATTCTGGCAATCATATTCTGTGTATTTTCCTTTGAACCCTAGAAGCTTATGTGAAATCATGATTCACTTGCATACTCAGGATTATACTATTTATAAATGACTGCCTTTATCTTAGAAGGATGGTTCTTACATTTGTAGAAAAGTACATGATGTGTAGTAGGCAGTACGAGCATACTTCTTTCAAAATAGAGATGATCAAGAAAAGGAAAAACATAAATTGTGTATGTTAAGGCAACAATAATGAACTCACTCCTATTATACACACTGATGCCTTCCAAAGATGAACACTTATATTGTGTAATAAAAACAGACACTAATGCAATTATGCATATTTTAAATTTTCTTTTGCTTTTGTGATTGTCTTGTCATAAGTATACATACATAGTTGCATGTCATGAGCTGTTGTGAAGGACACTGGTAATGTGTTTGTGAAGATCCTTCTACAAGAGATAATTGATACACATCCAAGTGGAAAAGAGTGTGAAAAAATAGGTGTCATCTATGAAGATGCTGGTGAATCAAAAATGTGGGGGAAATTATTTAGAATCTTTGAATTATTTTTAAAAATGATATTTTTCATAGTAAGGTTATAATTTGTTCAGCTAGTTATGTGTGATACTGAAGCATAAAATGAATGTGCTTTGGGATATCTCCATCTTCAAATGTGATCACTGGAAATTCTATGAAAATATATTTACATCAATTTTTTATGGTATTTCTACAGGTCTTGACTACAAAAGTAATTTGTGAAGTATTTTCAAAATAGTCACTTACATATGTACAATTTCTTTTCATAGTGCTGACTTTCATGTATTTAACCATATGCAGGAATACTGAGTGCTTCCTCAGACAGCATACATAGACATACTTTTGGAAGTTAGCATCTCTGTCAATGGAAACTTTTTCTCAATACATTTTTTTTTTCAGTTATAACCCAGTGTTTGGGAAATTTAGCATTTATAAAATGAAAAATTTGCAAAAAATACTTCTCACATTAACTACTTACATGAAATGTTCCTTGTTTGCATTATTTTATTATTTGATTGCATTATTTTGCACTGAATGCTTTTCTCCACTGTTGGAATGCATAGGGTTACTTACTTATATGAACTCTTTCATGTCATTGTAATCACTGGTGGAACAAATTTGCTGCATTGCTTAAATGCATACAGATCCTCCCTCATTGTGAGTTCTTTCATGTGTTCATAAGGTACAAAACAAACTGAATGTTTTCCCAAGTTGCTTACCGACATAGGGTTACTTCCCATTGTAAATTCTTTGATGAGTTTACAAGCTATGGGTTTGGCTGATAGATTTCCCACACTGCTTACATACATAAGTTTTTTCTCTCTGTGGGATCTTCTAGGTTTAGGAAATGTGGATTATTGGCAGAGCTTTCAAATTATGACTTATATAAGTTTTCTCCCATGTGAATTATTTGATGGACAAGATTACAATATTGACTGAAAGATTTTCTACATTATGCACTGACATAGTCTTTCTCCCTATTGAAAGTTCTATCATGTTTTTTATAACCTGTTTGTGTAATGAACATGTTTCTAAATGTCTTGCATGATAAGATTTCTCCCTAATTTAAGTTCATTCTTGTTTCTGGAAGTGAATGTATCTGCTTTTGCATTTGTGATGGTATATCTTAACATTAGGATTGCTACACAGATACAGGCCATGGACAGAATCACAATTTTGAATATGAATGTAGAGGCACTTCTTGGTAAACAGATACAAGAGTTACTGATTCTGATGGGAAAAATTGTCATGAGATATTTAGGTGTCATCCATCAAGACAAGAGATTGGTGGATCAAATAATGGAAAAAAAGATGTACCATACTTAAATTTTCTTTAAAAAGTGCAACATTTTTATTAAGACTGCAGATAAATAGATAAAATATTTATGTGTAATTTTAAAAAAAAACAAAGATGTTTTTGAATAATTCTATGTTTTAGGTTGTCTTCCAAAAAAGTATGAACATATATTGACAGCAATAATTGTATAATATTTTGGCAGGTCTCTTTTAGATGAATAATTTTGAAATTATTTTCAAATTAGTCACTTATGTATGTATGATTTCACTTAACTATGATTTCTTTCACACTTTTGACAATGACCATGTATACTGAATGCTTTCCCACACTGCATACATAATCTCAGGACACAATATGACATCACTCAGAAAGTTAGCAGCTGTCAGCTGAACTTTTACCAAATATTTCTTACATGCAGTCACTCCCCAATGTGAGAGGAATCTTATGCTTGCAAAAGGGAAACACTGCAGCAAATCTTTGCCTCATTGCCTACATACATATCTTCTTTGTGTGCAAAATTTCTCTATTGATGGTGTTTATATGTGCTACATACTATCTACCATTGTTCAAATGCATAGAATTACTGCACAGATGGAGTTCTTAAATGTAGTGGCAATCTCTATGGTGTGGAAAGTTTTCCTATATTCCTTATGTTCATAGGGAATTTTCCAGTGTGGGATCTTTGATGTTATAAAGTGAGAATGTATCAACAAATCCATTTACTCATTTTCCATATGGATAGGTATTTTTTATGGAGTGAATTCTTTTCTATGCAAAAAAGGTACTATTATAGCTAAAATACATCACAGATTGCTACATACTATCTACTGTCATCACACCACATCCCACATCAATGGAAAGGGTTCATTTTCATCACTTCTGCATACTGAATGTTGTCGCATATTGTTTGTACCATAGAGGTTCTATCCAGTGTGAGTTCTTTCATGAATAATAAGGGGACTGCTTTGACATAAAGATTTTCCACATTGCCTACATACAAAGAGTTTCTCCCCAATGTGAGTTCTATCATGTGCTTTACAAGCAGAGGCTCTACTAAATGCTTTCCCACATTTGTTGCACACATAGGGTTTCTCCCCAGTGTGAAATCTTTCATGTCTAATAAGGCTACCTTTTTCACTGAAAGATTTCCCACATTGCCTACATACAAAGGGTTTCTCCACAGTGTGAATTCTTTCATGTTTAATAAGGTTATCATTTTGACTGAATGCTTTCCCACATTTGTTACATACATAGGGCTTCTCCCCAGTGTGAATTCTTTCATGTCTAATAAGGCTACTTTTTTCACTGAAAGATTTCCCACACTGCTTACATACAAACTGTTTCTCCCCAGTGTGAATTCTTTCATGTTTAATAAGGTCACTGTTTTGACTGAAAGATTTCCCACATTGCTTACATACAAAGGGTTTCTCCCCAGTGTGAATTCTATCATGTACTTTACAAGCAGAGGCTGTACTGAATGCTTTCCCACACTTGTTGCACGCAAAGGGTTTCTCCCCTGTGTGCATTCTTTCATGTCTAAGAAGGCTAGGCTTTTGATTGAAAGATTTCCCACATTGCCTACATACAAAGGGTTTCTCCCCAGTGTGAATTCTTTCATGTTTAATAAGGTCACTATTTTGAATGAAAGATTTCCCACATTGCCTACATACAAAGGGTTTCTCCCCAGTGTGAGTTCTATCATGTACTTTACAAGCAGAGGCACTACTAAATGCTTTCCCACATTTGTTGCACACATAGGGTTTCTCCCCAGTGTGAAATCTTTCATGTCTAATAAGGCTACCTTTTTCACTGAAAGATTTCCCACATTGCCTACATACAAAGGGTTTCTCCCCAGTGTGAATTCTTTCATGTCTAATAAGGCTACTTTTTTGACTAAAAGATTTCCCACATTGCTTACATATAAAGGGTTTCTCCCCAGTGTGAATTCTATCATGTACTTTACAAGCAGAGGATGTACTGAATGCTTTCCCACATTTGTTGCAAGCAAAGGGTTTCTCCCAAGTGTGAATGTTTTTACTTCTTTGACAGCCACTGAGTTTACTGAACGCTGTCCCACATTGCTTGCATTCAAATGGTTGCTTTCCAGTGTGAAGTTTCTTATGTTTTTTAAAGAAATTACTGTGAGGTAATGCTTTTGCACATTTTTCAGTTTTATGATGTTTCTCTCTACCATATTTTCTAATATGTTTTTCAATATTGGATGAAGAAATAGCATTATTCTCATGGTGTTTTTGTACATACGAGTTTCCCAAACTGTGGTTTGTCTTGGGGGTTTGAATACTGTTAGGTGTTGGGTGGGCTTTCACACTTTTGTTACCTATAAGGATTTTCTTCCCAGAGTGAGTTTTTTCACTAAGATCAGATCTCTTTTCCTCATATTGCCCATATTCACAGGGTCTCTGTACAGTCTTGCTCATTTCATGCTTCTGAAAGGACTGGATATCACTGCAGGTCTCTACACCTTCATTACATTTATATTGCTGCTCTTCAGTTCTCAAATAATTGTCTTCATCACATCTGTAAAGAAATACAAAGAAAGATATCAATCACAATGGAAAAGACACCACATTAGCAATAATTTTTTTTGATGACAAATTTAGTTTGATTCCTGCTAGGTTAACTGACACACCACCCTGCAGGACTTCTTTCAAAGTACTATTCATTCTAAAAAGATGATTTTCTTTAGGCATATATATATATATATATATATATATATATATATATATATATTACACACATATATATATATCTTTTTACTGGGTTATTTTGGTACTAAGGATTGAACTCACAACTGCACCATTGTAAGGCAGGCACTTATGCCCCTGAGATAAATCCCCTGCCCCACTTCAGCAATTTTAAATTGTTATATGATTCTAATACTTAATACCATTTTAAGAGATTGGTACAAACGAATAGCAAACATTTATCATTTTCTTTAGCTCTTGGTGTCTTAATCTCCCCTTTGTCTATTTAGCCTGATCATCTTTCTCATCTACAGAACATAAGGATTTCTGGTCATATTTATCTCTCTTTATGTTCACTTCTCAAATATGTTTTTAATTTCTCATTTAAGAAAAAACCTGTGTTGTGGCTAGGGATTTAGCTCATCAGCATAAGCACCAGCCTGGCAAGCATGAGATTGTGAGTTCATGCCTCTGTACCAAAAAAAAAAAAAAAAAAAAAAAAAAAAAAAAAAAAAGGAGAAAGCCTGTGATATTTCCATTTCTATCTCTGATTTACTTCATTTAAGGTCCAATACTTTTTGTTTCTTGGGAAATGATATCATGGTTCCCTGTATAGCATTTTTTTTTCAACGTGGAGTTAATCACAGGTCATAGAATGAACTACATTTGCTGATCTATTATTTGTTTTGTTGAGAGAGATTTTTATTGACCATCAACTTGCCCAAGCTGAACTTCAAGTTGTCACCCTGCTGATTCAGCCTCCCCAGCTGCTGGGATTTCAGGAATGCACCACCATGGTGAGCTGACTTCACATTTTCTTTACCTTGGCATCCAGTGATGGGCATGTGGGCTCTTCACAATTCTTAGCTACTGTGAGTTGATTCTTGTATTAGATATTGTAAATGTTCTTTCATGTGCTTTAACAAACAACACACTCATGGATCACTAACATTTGATGATTTTAATGGATTTGACAATATACTGAGAGAATCATTACACATAATGACACAGTAAGAACCACTCAACAGTCAGGAAGTAGAGGCAGAGGATCGCTTTGAGTTTCGGGCCATTATGGGCTTCACAGTAAGTTCAAAGTCAACCTGAACTACAATATAAACTCATGGCTCAAAAAATTTAAAAAAGGATATGATTGTGGATGTACATGTGAAACAATATGAAACATATTGTTTTAATTTTCAGACCACTGAATATTTATTACCATGTTTCTATTTTATGTATCCATCAACAATGTATGAGGAATTTTAAACATGAACAGCTCAATATTCTATAGGATATTTTCATAGTACTGATTATAACAGTAGAATTCATTTTCATTTTGAATACTGATTGTGTGTGAAAATAATTCCAGAACATGAAAGTCTCAGTATTCACATGTATACATAAATGGTATTTTGAAGATGGTTTTTTTTTATCAACTTTCACAATCTGTTCATTTCCTACATATCAGAATACAATATTTAAATCTATTATACATTTCTATGATGTTGATCATGAAGGCAATTTTTAAACTGATACATTAGATAGTGTTATTTACTACATAGTATTTGAATTATCTCTGATTCTTATATTTAAATATGTTTCTATGGATTACCAGATAATACAAAATAAAATCAAGTTTATCTCTTGATATTTTTCAGAGGTTAAATAAAGTATAACATGATCTCATTTCTTCAAGTTACTTTGTTGTAATATTTATGCCCACACACTGACATTAAGTAATGTTCCCTTTCTCTTATGTGCTTCAGTCACCTTAGATTTCTTGAACAACTTTTGTCCTCTTCCTTAATTTGCCAATTATTCCATATTCTTCCTGTAATATGGACATAGAAATAAAATACACTCACTTTAACTGTAAATTAAAACATCACTGATTTGATTTATACTCATAGTATAGTATAATCAGACTTGAGATATACAAGCAAATATTATTATCAAATATATTAAACTGTATCAATGAGCAATAATTAATGCTTTTTGTATAAATAAACATGTCATCCTTACCTATTGCAGTAATATTCATATATGTTTCCCACATCACTTCTCTGTAGAGCTTCTTTTGGGATGGAGTCAGCAAATCCCACTCTTCTGGGGTGAACTTCACAGCTACATCCTCAAAGGTTACTGTCTCCTGAATAATGACAAGGGTTCTGAAGTTCAGGCACACACAACCTGATATATCTCAGGTCTTGTCATAAACAGTCTAACTGAAATTCATTCTTTCAAGTATTAACTGCATGTCATGGTCATCAAAACTCCAGTACATTCAAATATAGTCACCCAGTAACACTGATGCTAGATGATGACACACTGCCAAAGCAATCACAGAACTGTAGCATGGCTTGTCCTGCAGGGCCACCACTAGTGTAGTTTTTTACTTATTTTAAAGCAGAGCTCAAAGAGTGAGCATGAAAACCACTATTCACAAAATATTGGTTATTCATAACACTGAGTTTGTCTTTCTTATCAACAGCATTATGGTCTTGAATATAGATTTATACATAAAAATTTAGTTGAATATGAAAAGATATTTCTGAATTATTAAAATTTAATGACAGAAAAGTTTTATTTGACCATTCTATAGACAAGGAAATTAGGGAAAATGTAGTTATAAGCCTATAGCTCAGGGATACTAAATTATCTCCTTGTACTTATATACTGGAAATTCCACTAGGGTGCAAAGGAAGATAATGTGGGAAAAAACATATATGAAATGCTTGAAATGGAGTGAAAATTGCGGAATAGCAAAGTAACTGGTCACTAAATACAGAAGGAAGAGTTCAGTCAGTGGAGTAGTATATGCTTGTACTCTCAGAACTTGAAATCATGATGTAAGAGGATTACCAGAAATTTCATGCTTGCCATGCATACAGTGTCCATCCTGGGATATGTAACAAGGACAGTTCATACTACCAAGTGAGGCCATTCATCAAACTCCTGTACGAAGTGAAAATTAAAATTAATTCAGTCATTGACAAATCACAGCTTTGCACCCAGGATATATCTCATTGGTACAAGCACCTGTCTCACATTTGCAAGGGCCTGAGTACAATTTCCAGTACCAAAAATAGAATACACGTGCACCTTTGATTAGTTCCAACAACTGTAGATGTAAGTTAGAGAAAAAAAAAAAGTCTACAGACATTGAATATTTGTGTGCAAGGACACATTTTGCATAATACACAGGAAAACATTTGACATTCAGCATTCAAATCAGTGGACAAATGGATCCCAGGAAAGGAAGACAACCTTCAATTCATACACATGGAAGTAGAATATTGTGTCACAATTCACCTGGCATTGTGCTTCTAAGCAAGAAAGCGCAATATGTTTCATTTATGTTCAGAAAGAAACAGGTATGTCCCTAGAAATCTGGCCTGCACACTATCCTTGCCTATGTGCATTGGTGAACTATTGAAATGGGAAAGAGAAACATGAATTACTGTGCAATTTATACTGAAAAACACTCAGTTAGTGCAAAATTCTCCTCTGAAGAAAATCAAGCAGCCATGAAAATTAGAAGAAGTTGAAATCTATGAAAATTGGAATTAAACAAGAAAACATTTATTGGGAACACAATACAAACATTTTACAGAGTTAAGATCAATGAGCAAAAATCTAAAAATAAACATTTATGTGACCCAGGAGGAAAGATGAATAGAAAAGAAAATCTAAATCATATTTGTGAAAATAACCAAACAATATTGAAGTGTGGAAGAAAAAATAATTAGATTTGTTCTTAAATTCCACAAACACCTTTTCTACTGAGTTAATGAAAACCTACACACAAGTGAATTCTTTCTAATGTCTACAAAATATTTTGTTCTAGGATACCTTGAAATACACATGATTCTTTTCAAGTGAAATTACAGACTCAGAAACTGTGACCAAGAGAATAAATGAGAATGTACTTTGGCCTTGATTCACATTGTGAATGATAGTGAAAAATGATTGAATTGATAAATACCACAAAACCTCACCATATATTTCTATGTGCACTTTTAATTGTAGTTTCTAAAAACTTAAAGGGAATAAGTTAAAAGAATCATTTCTATAAAAGAACATATTGTAAACTTTGGAATATTTCCAAAGAATTGTCATCAATCATGCAATAATACTTTCTGACCTGAAGGTAATTTGCACATGGTTACCTTCATTTCTTGCTTAAGGCCCAGTGGTGAAACTTTCTGAATACACCTGTGACTCTTTCACTGTTCTCATTAAATCTATACACAAAAGCTTTGAGAATAAGATTTTCTTTAAATGATTAAAACAATAAATTGCAATAAAAGTCCTAATTCATTTGTATCTGTTTATCTGTCTTGAGATAAGAAATGATGGGAGCATTTCCATATTAGATAGTGATAAGCCAACTACAATTACAAATATCAGTGTAACAAATTCATCACTAACAGTTGTGAAATTCAAAGTTCACCAAAAGGAGAACAGGTCAGCCTATCAGGAGAGGAGACATTATCAGGAGAACAGGTCAGATTAAAAGGGACTGAAATAACAGGTATCAGAGCTGATTAATAGCTAGACAACTAGATAATGTGCAAATACTCTCATGATCTGGAGAGCAGTGGTTATTATATGCACACTGATATGATAGGTTAAATAGTAAGCTATGCAGAAAGACATACCTTGATGCCACTGATTCAACAAAACATACTGAAGCTACATTAGCTTGATTATATTCCACATGTACAATCAGCAGTTATTTAGAAACAAATATCATTCCTTAATACATGCACCATACAAAGCCAAATCAACTACCTAAACAGAAACAGAATTGGAAGAGAAAAAGCAGTCATTTACAAATATATATTTAAGAGTTCAAAATACCTTCATCAGTGACTGACAGCTCAAGAAGGCAGAGCGATCTTTAAGGTCACACATAAATTCAACAAGATAACAATTCAAAGCAATATATCAGATGGATTCTATTGAATGTTTTTTCACAGAAAGACATAGCACACTGTCCTCACAGCAAGCCAAGAAGTATTCACACATGTAACCCAGGTTCAGTGCCGCAATACACAATGTAACATAGTCAGTAGAGTGGAAGTCATGCAAAGCAGGTTCTTACACAATATTGGAATAAATTTATAAAAGAAAAGCAGAAAAACTCAAGAATACTCTTAGAATGAAAGATCAAATCACAAATTTTAAATAACATGTTTTAACAAAAAGCTTAAATAATTAAGGATTTCACCATCCATGACAATGAATGTACATTTAGAATTATTTCAGTTCCTCAAAATTGATGCCTCAAAACATATTAAAAACAGTGAATACTGGAAAAGAACAAAGACTTCAATTGTGGAACATTCGAGAACACAGTGAAGAGGGAAGCTCAACAGAGCAGCTATGAGCTGAGTGCATGACATCACTCCGCATGGTGGTCTTTGGGAAGTCTGAGATTAGGGCCAGCAGAGCACATAACAGGCCCATCCCTGAGCCTCTGGAAGCTTAAGTTTCCAGAGAGAACTAGAGAAAATTGCTGCAGTATAAAAATGTTAATCACTCCACAGGAAATAGGATAGTTCATTGCTCTATATTTGTGCAGAAATCCAAAGAACAATAGAGAAGAAACTCTTAAAAGTATTAGAGGAATTACTTAGTAATTAATGTAACTAAATACATAAATATCTGGGGAAAAAACTTACATTGATGTTAGTGGACACAGACAAGACACAAGATGAAAAACTTAGCAGAGAATAAGTTGGAATGCATACAAAAATATATTCACTTTCAAATAACTATCGATTTGGTGAAAGTTGCAACAAAAATTTAATAGAATTTTTAAGATAATGTACCACAGACAATATCTCTGGATTGAAATAGAGATATGTGCCATGTAAATATGTATCAGGTATCAACAATTGATTGAAATTATAATCATTATACCACATAAAATTCACATTGACATAATTTAAAAAATATGAACACCACATATGAAACATATGAAGAGCACAAAGTGTATCATTTAGTATGTCCTTTTCAACAATGTCCAGTATAAAAATGAAGTATAATAATTACAATGAAGTATAATGAAGTATATTAATTATATGAGCAATGGTGCTTCTTTCTCTGCCCACAGAGAAAAATTTCTTGTACTGCACACAGAGAAAAATTTCTTGTACAAGATCAAGGATATAGCTCAGCAGCACAGTGTTTACCTGGCAATGTGGCATTGTGAGTTTGATTCCCAGTTTTTTAAAAAAAATTGCATATACATGTGAATGCCATACTTCAGAGATCAGTTTGTGTTTTTAACAGGCAGCTTCTTCGCAAATTGTCCTTTACTGTATTATTTTACCTTCTGATATTTAAACTCCTATCATAACATCCAACTTTTATCTTTATAAGGTACAGAACCTAATGTATTCAACAGTTTACTCATTTATCGCATGACCCTAGATGTAGACAGTAGTTTACAAATGCCTGGAAGGGTCCTAGTAATTATTTTCATCATAGTCATAGTACTATGAATTTATTGATAGTACTAAAATTTATTGATGTGAAAGTTTAAAAAAATTCTCATGTGATTTTTAAACATCCTAGAAGGACTTGGAATTGTGAGGGTGTGTTCATTGATTCTGGAATTCAACATCATTACAATGAAACTCAGTGTGGAGGATACTATTTGTCTGCTTGAGGCCTCATATTTAAACTCTCATTTTATTTATCATGGGTAGGCGTCCCTGGAATTTCCTATGACTGGGTTAAGATATCCAACAGTGTCACTACAATGGATTCAAGACTTATGAAAACTAAACCTAACTGGAGAGCAGAAGGAAGGCTGCGTGCAGTGTCCCACCCTCAATTCTGGCCCTCTGAGAAGACAAGGATTCAGCATGGTAAATTTTCTGTAATAGACCTTTCCATCTCCAGAGGTGAAAGTTAATCTCTTGTGGCTTACTAATTTTTCCAAAATAATGTGCTCAACTCTGCATGCCTGATGCCTAGACTTCTATTGTCAGATTCTGAGTGTTTGAAGACATTAAGGTTATTAGGAAAGACATGTATGGGTTTGGCTTCATGTTGCAAGGGAACATGATCCATGATCTTACATCTGGTGCATGGCCCCTGCCTCTCAGCCTCTGTCTCTGCTGAAGAATCTCAACTGGAAGGTTGAAGATTAGACTCTGAGAGCGTGTGCAACCTGAGGCCAATATCATAAGTAAATGGCAAATATCTGTGCCCATGAAGAGAAAAGTAAGAGACTTGTTTTCCCCTTATTATTCCACCCAGGTCACATTGTTGTTGTCAAGCACATACAAAGTGAGTCATTTGCCATGTGATATAAATCAGCAATCCACAAAGAAGTACAGAACATTAAAAATGGACCGGGGCATTCATACTCATCATGAGACATGCCACAGTAATCATTACAAAATATTAATCTTTATTTTGCTAAGAATTCCCTTCACAGATATTCTTCACACATAGTAATTATTTTCTGATTCTATTAATTCTTTGCAGAAGATAAGGAAACATTTTACCAGTAAAGCCCTATAACCAAAGGAATCCTGTCCTCAGAAAGAAAAGATTTACAAAATTATCCATACATTGGACACAATCATTCCAATATTCTGTGGCTTGTCATGCTCAAGAGTACTATATCATCCTCATGGATTTAAAGCAGTAATTCATATCATGAAAAATCCAATATGCTCAAATCTTATTTTAAGTGGAAAAATTAATCACAAAGTACACAATGTGCTTTGCCTATTTTTCCTGGGCATTGTCATCTCCCCCATTCTACTTGAGTGAAGGGCCCAGGCACTGAATCTAGTGATTTTCATGTTCTAGTCGCCTTATTGAACTATTTCTGCATGCTCACACAAATATGCATGTAGTCCATACTCTAATAAAGGCCAAGATACCTTAGAAAGCCCTCTCCCTTTAAAGGGATGCAACTCCTTTTTTAA